TCAGCTTCAGACTAAGAATCACACTGTTGTCTTCCCTGGTTTGAGGCTTTGGACCTGGACTGAGCCTCGCTCCTTGCGTGCCAGGGTCTCCTGCCTATAGATGGCCTGTCATGGGACGTCTCATCTCCATAGTCCCTGAGCCAATGAATCCCCTCCTATCCATTCGTCCAATCTCCTGTTGGTTCTGTCTCTCTGGAGAACCCTAATATTAGGTTGTTGCATAAGTTCATAGCATTTGTTTTTGACATGGCAGTGCTGGTGCTGAGAGTTTATTTTTTGTCATTTGGAGTGACAATGTTGTGCTTGTGAATACAGCTTGCATTTTGCAGATTTGAAGAAAGTTAGTGCGATTTGTGGGCTAAGGTAGATGGAGTGTCAAGTGGGGAAAAAAGAACACTTCCGACACATTCTTCTGTTTGACAGAGGAGTAGAGGCGTTAGAGGCAGCTCAGAACATTTGTGCCACGGATGGAGAGAAGGCCATCGCGGAAGGCATGGCAAGAAAATGGTGATAGCCGGGCTCGGTGGCTCAGCCTGTCATCCCGCGCCTTTGGGAGGCTGAGGTGAGTGGATGGCCTGAGCCCGCGGGTTCGAGACCCGCCTGGGCAGCGAGACCTCATCTTACAATAAATCAAAAATCAGCCGGGCGTGGTAGTGCGTGCCTGTAATTCCGGCTACTCGGAAGGCTGAGGCAGAAGGATCGCCGGAGCCCGGCAGGTCGAGGCTGCGGTGGCCAGGAGCGGCCGCTGCACTCCAGTCTGGGCGACAGTGAGACTCCAACTCACAAAAAAAAAAAACAAAAAAAAGAAAATGCTGGCATAGTTTCAGAGAGGGCCGCTGTGGCCTGAGTGGTTCTCCATGTGTGGGAAGACTGTTGGGCTTTGATGAAGACCGTTTAAACGCTTTGATCCACGATGACTCTGGCCAGTCGACCTGAGAATTGGCAGATGTGGCGAACTGTGACCAGTCAACCATCGACGCCGTTTGCGTTCCACGGGTGAGCGGAGACGCCACGAGCCCGTGCGTCAACCCCGTACAGGGGCGTTTCCTCACCGGTGACATCCTTTCTTTTTTCTTATTTTTCTTGAGTTGAGTCTCGACTCCTTCACCCAGGCTGGAGTGCAGTGGCACGCACGTTCACATCCCTCCCAAGCTTGACCTGCTGGGCTCTGGCGATCCTTCCATCTCAGCCTTCCTGGTAATCAGAACTGCAGACGGGGGCCACCACACCTGGCAGTTTTTTATTTTATCGTAGAGACGAGGGTTTGCCAAGCTGCCCGGGCTGGTCTCGAGCCTACATCCTTTCAGCACAGTGTTCACTCAGTTCTGTTGTTGGCCCTGTGGGCTGCCTCCTCACTCCACACACAGTGTAGACATCCACATGGGCTGCCCGGCCATGCCAGGGACTGCTGGTATCTAATCAACTCGTTCTCTTACTGCCCCAAAGTATAATCCTCCCATTCATCGCTCTGTGAACACCTGTGCCCCTCACTACAAGATTGGAAGGTAATGAGTAATGCTTTTCCCCCTTCTCCATTCTGTTGCTTAACTTTTTACCAAGCATTTATTGCTTCCTAACGTAATCTGAAGCCCCAGTCTCCCAGATGGTGAACTTCTTCAAGTCTTGGACTGTGCTCTACCTAGTACAGACTCCAGGCAGTGGACTGCCTCGAAAATAATGGGTGCTTCTGTTCCCGTTCTTGGGATATTCTTCTGAGAGTTGATTATCCTTTGGGCCCTGTTACCCCTGGCTGTTCTTGGTTTCTTGCTAAGTTGGCTGCAGTTCTTCTAAAAATGAATCTGTCGGTTCTGCTTTCTCAGAAGTCAAGACAGTGAACTTACTGTCTTTGCCACAGCTGTAGACCTCAGCCCATACCCAAGGATGAAAAGGGCCGCTGAGGACGTGGCTTACTTTTCCTGTTAGAAATTAAACCATCTGGGTTCCCATTTCAGCCCTGTCATTCTTCAGGGATGTGGGCTTGGATGAGTCCCTCAGTCTCTGAGCAGCATTCTTGCCTTTCTCTGGAACAGGCTGCCACCTGATGTGGCCCCTCTCTGGGTGGCCAGGAGGGCCCACGAGACCGTGGAGGTGGAGACCTTCGTAAATCCCAGGCAGGCGTCTGCCTCTCCTGACTGTGTCCCAGCCCCTGCCGTGTATACAGGGATGTCGACCATTCCCTGGCACAGAGGAAGGTCTCCCCACGCACTTGTTGAATGAATGAGATCAAAGATAGTTCTCCCATTATGAATAATTTATCCGTGAGCTCACTTCTTCATTTTTCTTTCACTATTTACTGACTTGATGTTCCAGCGATCAGCTGATCCCAGAGGGCTCCATGGTCCTCTGAGCCATTGTGAGAACCCTCTTCCTGGCGTAAAGGCTGGACTCTGTCCAGCACCATCTAAATCCCTCTGTCCACGCTGGATCCGAGCACAGCAGTGATCTGCACAGTCCTCCAGCTCATCGGTGTTTCTTACTCGGTCACGTCCCTCCACACACCCTGCGTTCTAGATTCACTAGGACTTCTTACAAACCCTTTTGCTGTAGTAATGTTTACCAAAACGTGCATAAAACATGAATGTGCACTCAGTGATGGATCATAAAGCAAACCACCTATGTGGGCACCACCCGGGCAAGAGTACAATGTGTCAGCACAGAAGCCCTGTCCCTCCTCACCACAACCCTCTCATTGCCTCCAAAGATGACCACAGGCTTAGCTTTTGTGGCACTCACTGGGGTTCTGTTGGGACATCAAAGGACCGCTGTGCTTCTGCAGTGTTTGGTACTCCTCAGAGCTCTTGTTCTTATTTAACATTTTTTTTTTGTGTTGGAGTCTCACTCTGTTGCCCAGTCTGGAGTGCAGAGGCACACTCACAGCCACCGCAGCCTCACCCTGCTGGGCTCAGGTGATCCTTCCGCTTCAGCCTTCCAAGTGAACTCAGGTGATCCTTTCACCTCAGCCTTCTAAGGAGCTGGAACTACAGGTGCGTGCCACCACACCTGGCTCATTTTTTGATTTATCGTAGAATGAGGTCTCGCCAAGTTGCCCAGGCTGGTCTTGAAACCCTGACTCATCCACTCTACAGTGACCTTGCAGCCAAGGTCATCGATTCCCTGCCTCTGTCCCGCACCTTCCATGCCCAGGCTCAGCGGGTCCTGCCTCTCCTCTGGCCTCTCCTTCAGCCTCTTCTCGACTCCATTGCCAAAGTCATCCCTTCAGTCTCCCTAGCTCTTGCTTAAAAGCCTTCCTGGGCTCCTTTTCATGATTCAGATGTTAACTTAAAGTTTACATCTTTCTGTTTCCCCCCTTAGTGTTGACCTTTTGCAAGGAAATTATAATGCAAGCTTGATTACCCAGTACAAATTCAACTCCAGTTTCCAGTGAGTACAAACGCGAGTTCTCTTCCGATGAAGTCTGCCGTTTCTGGCCCTTCTGCTAAATTGCGCAACCAAGCGTGCTAGCCATTGTTCTCCTTATCTCTCATCCATGCATCATCTTGGACTTGGCTCTAGCTATGTTTTGAAAGTGAGCATGTTCCAGATGATTGTGGGGGTCAAGGGGAAATCAGAGATGAGTCAGACACTGTTTCTGGGAGCTCCTCGCCCAGCATGGCCACAAGTCATAAAATTAATTGCAGTCTAACTCATGTTTATGAGACACTTTTCAGATGCCAGCCATTCTTCTGAGGGCTTGCAGGTGTGAGTTAGGTTCACCTAACAGTTCTTCCTTCTATGATTATTTGTGTACTTGTGTGTCAGCTACTTTGTTAGGTGCTGGGAAGTTACATCCAAGATGGTCTCCTTCTCTTCAAGGGCCTCAAAGCTTGATGTAGGAGACAGACATCAGAGACAGTGAGAGTGCCAGGTGACAGTTTGGGTTGGGTGGTGTGGACCACAGAGGAGGGGCATTAGACCCCAAGTATCAGCTCAGACTGCTGTGACAAAATACCATAGACTGGGGGGCTTAAACAAAGACTTGTTTTCTCCCAGTTCTGGAGACTGAAGTCCATGGTCAGGGTGCCAGCATGGTTGTTCTGGTGAGGGTCTCTTCCTGTTTGTAGATGGCCAAGTCCTCACTGTGTTCTCACATAGCTGGGCGAGTTCCCTGTCTCTCCCTCTTCTTACAAGGCCATCAGTCCTACCTGACTAAGGACCCACTCTCATTTAACCTTACTTACCTCCTGAAGTATTACCTTCAAATGCAGTCACAGTGAGGTTAGAGATTTAGCACGTGAATTTTGGGGGGACACAGGTCAGTCATAGCACCGAGCTTTAGTGATTCAGGAAGGGTTTGCTAGAGGAGGTGTATATTAAATCCTAAAAGATGACTGCCTTTATCAGACAAAAAGAGAGGGTGAGTGGATGGACAGGAAGCTTGTTAGAGAGAACAGTATGTGCAAAGATCCTGAGGTAGGAGAGAATATATTTGGGAAACTAAAAATAATACCAGTATCTGTGCTAATATGTCACAGAATGAGGTATCGGCCATTAGAATGCTGGGTGTAAATTTCTGTGGAAGTTTAAGGCTGTTCCAGAGGGTAGAGGGGGACTTTCCTCAGGCAGGTCTTGGAAGTGAGGAATGTCGTGCAGGTGGTGATGCCAGCAGGGAAGAAAGCTCTTGCAGACTCAAGAGGACTTTGACATACAGGTGTGGATGCAGGAGAGCAAGGGACTTTTATGTGGGCAGGAGCTCTGTGTTGGGGACCACCCACGCTCCCCTGCAAGAACGTGGCGAGGCATCAGTATTGGGTCTGCGTAGTGTTCAGTCCACATCGAACTGTCTAGAAATGGTTCTTATAAACACAGGCTTTTTCGTCACTTGAGTGCAATACTTTTTGCTGGGTTTCCATTGCCCAAGTCTTAGAGTGGTTTTATTCTTGAAGAGCACATGTCCCTTGCTAATTAAGTCACTTGATTATTACGCATATTAATTATGTGCTCTCAAGCACTTAGTAGGCTTCAGCTGTTCAGAATTTACCCACGTTTGGTTGTTTTGACAGACTATGACTCGGATGCGATGAGCAGCTCCTATGAGTCCTATGATGAGGAGGAGGAAGACGGGAAGGGGAAGAAGACCCGGCACCAGTGGCCCTCCGAGGAGGCCTCCATGGACCTGGTCAAGGATGCCAAGATCTGTGCCTTCCTGCTGCGGAAGAAACGCTTCGGCCAGTGGACCAAGTTGCTCTGCGTTATCAAAGACACCAAACTGCTGGTAATGCATTCTGAACCGGCTGCGTTTTTGTAAAATTCATAAGATGTGTTGGCAATCTAAAGTGATGGTGTCGGGGTCCATTCAGCATGAGTGTCAACCACAGGGGAAGGGTAGCGCTCAGAGCCCAGTGAGGTACCATGAGCTCTCGGGAGTCATGGCCTGGGGTCGGTCTGAAGCCATCAGCCATCTTGAACCCTGTGGTATCTTCAGTGCTGTCGGTTTCCCCCGCTCCGGAAGCAGCCAGCAGACAGAATCACTCCCATTCCGGGGCAGCGCCTGTGGTTTGTGTCAGTGGAAATGCACAGTATTTTGCCTTGCCAGAAGTTGCAAGAAGGGTTTTCTCATTTGTAATGAGTCAGTGAATTCCTCAAAGCCAGGTCATAGAAGAGGGACGGGTAGTCCTTGGGAGGTTGGGGGAGAGTGGCCAGGAAAGGAAATTCTTTTGGAAAGCTTGAGGCCAGTTCTTTTTCTTTTTTTCCCAACCTGAGAGGCAGAATTGGAAGATAAGTACGAAACCGAGAAGCAGGGGACGGGGCAGACTTTCGCTCTGGGTGTTTTTCCAGTGGAGGCCCCACTGAGGAGGCAGAAGCCTTTGAGGATGGTGTGGTGGCTCGACCTCCCTCCCGTCCCTCCTCTGTCTCCCTCTCCTGCTCCTGCCTCTCTTCCTTCCTTTCTTTTCCTTCCTTCCTCTAGAAACCATGGTTGAGTGTTAGAATTATGAACCTTGCAGTGTGTTTCACCTTTTGTTTTTCCTTCAAATTAACCCTGAGGGAATTGCTCGAAGTTATATCATTAACTTGCTCAAAATATTATCATTAAAATAGAAAACATGAGAATTTATGCTTTTGCATATCATTCTAGTGAAGAAGAAAATATTTTGGTTTTTTTAAGCCAAGTTTCATCTGTGCGTTGTGGGAATCTTGTTTGACTGGGTTCTTAGGACATTGTACACTTTTAATTAATGTTTTTGTTCATTTTTTTAAACTGAGAGTACATATTTTTTCCACATGTGGCCTGAATTTCTCCCAAGTTTAGAATATGCCAAAAATGATGCCATGGGGAATATTAAAGAATAGGAGAATAGGTTAGCTCGGTCCTCATTTTCAGTGTGACATAATGGCAGCAAGATGTGGATATATTATGTAAATGTCTTTAAAATATGCCATCAACTCTCACGTAAAAGAGAAGCTTCGAGGCAGTTTGGGCGTACCGTGGCCTAGCTGCACGTAGGATCAGCAGGTGGGGTTCTGGTTCCGGCCCCTCTCCCCCCTCCCCTCCCTCAACCTACTCCTCTTCTTTCTTCCTCTTGACTTTCTCTTCCTTTGGGCTCCCACCCGCTTTCCCCTTCAAAGCCAGGGTGGTAATACCCGCCTTTTAGAGTATGCATTTAGGAAGAAGTTAATGGAAAACCCGGTGAAAGCACTGTCTTCAATAAAAGGCAGAATCAAAGTTAGTTATTTTTATTGTGAAGCTGTTTTCCTTTCAAAAATGACCTAGGATCCAGCTGCTTAGGTGTTCTCTGTTGACATAAAAAGTAATCAGCAGTGATAAAAGCAAGTGCTTTTCAAACGTGAAAAGCACAGAACGCTATGCCCAGAAAACAAAAGGCCATGTTCTTCTTCCAAGTGTTCCTAGTCTGTCGTCCCACAGATTCCTGCCATTGCCAGCTTTTTTGTATCTCCTTCCAGAACTCGGTCCTTCTTTGCCCAGAGAGCTCTGGGGTGGGTCCTGCAGTGCACCCAGACCCCCTTCAAGGCTGCTGAGCCCACTTAGGAAGCTGTCTCCACTGGAGGGCCAAGGTCACGCTCCTTCCTCAGGATCTGCACGGGGGGTTGGGTGGGGTTAAGACCTAGACTCCTGGGGTGACTCCTCCCATAGTTGCTCAGAGCTCTCGTGGCAACCCTGAGGGCACTCAAGCTGCCGTGCAGTTTGACTTCTTTACCCAAACCCACTTCCACCCTCCCCAATTCCTGGTGCTGTCTTAAGGACGTACCTTAATGACCATCCTGTATTTATGCTTTGCTTAGCTTCCCTGGGTCCAACCTGCGAGGACCTCAGAACTGAAGTCTGTCATATTGATGAGAACATAGGGAATTCCCTTTCTGAAATGATAGATGTTTGAGACGATAGGTATGCTGATTACCCTGATGTGATCACAGCACATTATACGCATGGAAGCGTCACTCTGTACCCCTAAACACATACCATTATTTATATGTCAGTTTTAAAAAGTTCAAGTAAACAATTTAAAATCAAAACATGAGCCATTCCCATTCTGATTCCTTCCACTGTACCGTCAGTTTCCTTTTCACCTTTGTGGGAGAACTTACTCAAAATGCAAAAAATTGGGTAAGTGGTAAACACTCATAACGAGATGAAGTTAACTGGTTTTGAGGTATTTTTTTCTTCCTTTTTAGACAGGACAGCCATCAGTTGAATTTTTTAAAAGGGGCAGGGGACATATTCCTTATCTGTTCACTTTAAGAATCATGAATTGAGAATTGTAAACAAGAAAGGACTCTAGAAACAACTACTAAATAGCTGTCTGTTCATTCTTGCACCAGTGGAAGAGTCACAAATGCAGCTCTCTCTGTGCTTGGCAGTTCTGGGCAGTAGTCCTGGGTCTGCCAAGTTCCAGGCCACCTGACTTGAGAAAGTAACTTAACCGGTGGCACCCAATCTCATCACTTGCAGAATGGACAACTGGGATCAAATTAAATGCATGAAATGCCTCATGGGATGTGGACACTCAGGTCTTGGTAGCAGATGTTATTGTTACTAATAATTGAATGTGATTCAATAAAATAATAACAATAACAGCAAAACACATTTTGCAAATAGGGAGACGGGCTCAGAAACTTCCTGGGACCCAGATCAAATTAGTAATAGAGCTGTGACCCGGACATCACACCTCTTAGACTGTGTCTTTCCAGTAGGAGGCATGCTTTTGGCCCTACGCGGTTCAGACAAAAGGCATTGCAGGAAACCTTTGGGCAAGGATTTGATTCTCAGTTTGACAGGTGGAATTTAAGCAGGAACGATATGAACTTGATCTCTGCCTCACCGTCACCGACTGAAAGCTTTAGGGCAACGCCGGCTGTGTAAAGACAGCAGCGTGAGTTTTGGATCCTCTGGTTACCTAAAAAGCAAACCTTTGTGACATTGTTGTACATTATGTATTGATACTTAGTCTTAAGAAGATAATGTATCTGCCTTTCAGAAAGGTGATGGCGATGATACAGTCAGATAGCGAGTGATACAGGCTACAAAATGAAGTGTCTAAATTATTATTTTGTCTTTCCGCATGAGGGCTGTGGAGTTGCAGCGAACCTAATAGTATGTTTTGTGTTATTCATGTAAATGGAAATGTATTTTATAGCATTTTGTTTGTGTAAATATGTTCACATAATTTAATGAAGAAGCTGCCCTGGAACCTAAACTCAACCAGAGGAGGGCCTTTTTATTCCCTGGTGAGTTGTGTCATAGATGCTCAGTAGACTTTTGCTGAATTAATGAATAAGGGAGTTTTCCGTGCTTGGAGGCGGAGTGTCAGCATGAAGTAATGCTTCGTGTGTGTGACACCTGTCAGTCTGCAGGTCTGTCTTCCAGGGTGCTGAGCTTTTTCACGGTTCCATCAGCCCTCCAGAAGCCTTGCCAGTACTCACACTTGCGTCAGGCGGCCGTTTCATGGGTGTTTCTGCTTGAACGTCCTGACAATCCCCACTGACTTGCTGTGTTGAATGCAGTGCTACAAGAGTTCTAAGGACCAGCAACCGCAGATGGAACTGCCGCTCCAGGGCTGCAATATCACGTATATCCCGAAAGACAGCAAGAAAAAGAAGCACGAGCTGAAGATCACTCAGCAAGGCACAGACCCGCTGGTTCTTGCCGTCCAGAGCAAGGAACAGGCTGAGCAGTGGCTGAAGGTGGGTTGTCTGTTTGTTCCTGAGCCATTGTCAGTCCCAGACCCCTTTCTCAGATCCGCTTTTTATTTTAATTTGTGGCTTTTTCCCCAAGCATAGGCAACATGGATTAACCTGACTAGTTTTGTCTATGACAGGTGAGTATTCTGATTACACTGAGGTTAATCAGAAACCCATTGTATTTTAACTCTTGTCTTGAAGAGTCGATCTGTTTGCAGACTGCTTCTAGAAGTTCCTTTATACCTTATTTTCTGCCATTTCACTTCATTGCATCTGCATATGGATTCTTTTTTGTTTATTCTGCTTGGGATTTGCTGGGCTTCTTAAATTTGTGGACCTTCATTTTTCTAAGTTTTAGATACAGTATTTTATTTTATTTTTTTGAGTTGGAGACTCACTCTGTCACCCAGACTGGAGTGCAGTGGCACGCCCATGACCACCCCAGCATTGACCTGCTGGGCTCTGGCGATCCTTCCACCTCAGCCTTCCAAGTAGCTGGAGCTACAGGCATGCACTACCACATCTGGCTGATTTTTTAATTTATTGTAGAGACGAGGTCTTCCCAAGTTGCCCAGGCTGTTCTCAAACCCATAGACTCAGGCAATTCACTTGCCTCAGCCTCCCAAAGTGCTGGGATTGCAGACTGAGCCACTGAGCCTGGCCTAGAGACAGATTTTAGCCATTTTCATAAAATACAGCTTTCCTCCATTTTTCTCCCTTCCCTGAGTCTATATTTAAGTATTTGTTAAACTTTCACTATATTTTACTTCTATCCTCTCTTTGTATTTACTGTCCTTTTTCTCCTTCAGTCCCATTTTTTTTGTTGTTACTTTTCAATTCACAGTTTCTCTCTTTGACTGTCTCTAATTCTGCTATTAAATTTGTAACAGCTCACTGAGATCCTGACTTTGGTTATGGTAGTTGCCTTAGGCTGCTCTGACAAAATACCGGGTGGCTCATAAACAAGAGTAATTTATTTCTCACAATCCTGGAGGCTGTAAGTCCAAGATGAAGGCACCAACAGATTTGGTGTCTGCAGAGGGCCCGCTGGCAGGCCTGGCGGAAGGGACAAGGCAGCGGGGCCTCTTTTTTTTTCCTTCAGTCGTGGTCTTGCTCTGTTGCCCAGGCTGGAGTACGGTAGCATGATCTTGACTATCAGCTCATGGCAGCCTTGACCTCCGGAGCCCAGGTAATCCTTCCACCTCAGCTTCCTGGGTAGCTGGGACTACAGACATGCACCACCAAGCCTGGCTAATTATTTAATTTTAATTTTGTAGAGATAAGGTTTTGCTATGTTGCCCAGGCTGGTCTCAAACTCCTGGGCCTGAGCAGTCCACCCCCTCAGCCTCCCAAAGTGTTGAAGTTACAGGCGTGAGCCTGGCCTGGGGCCTCTTTTATAAAGGCACTGATGTCATTCACGAGGGTGCTACTGTCATGACCTAATCTCAAAGGCTCCATCTTTCTAAACTGTCACCTTGTGGGTGGAGGGTTGGGTGTTAGGATTTCAGCAAGTGGATTTCAGGGACACATCCAGCAGTGTTTCTAGTTTTCTAGATTTTCTTGTTTTGTTTTCAAAAAACTGGAAATAATTGCTTTTACAGTTTTAAATTTCTTTTAGAAATGTTTGTTTTGCTTTTCTCTCCATAAATGTAAAGAGCATGGTCGTTTTGACAGTGGTTTTTGTGGAGTTTGCCCTGGGCCTGTCGTCTGCTGTACTTACTCTTGGTCAGGCTATTTTGTCTTCTTGTGTGCCAGGTCTTCTCATGTTATTGCTAGGCATTATATTTGGAGAAAAATTATTGAAACAGTGTTTAGTAACAGCTTTATCAAGGTATAAGTCACATACATAAATATACCCTTTTGTAGTACAGTTTAGTGGTTTCTAGTATATCCACAGAGTGGTGCGGCTATTACCATAATCCAAACTCAGAATTTTTTAATCACTGAAAAAGAGCACTGCATCCACTGGCTGTCATTGTCCGTTGGCCTCCACCCTGCCCTGCCCTGGTCTTGGCCAATTGCTAAAGTGCTTCCAGTCTATAGATTTGCCTGTCCTCAGTATTTTATGTAACCGTAACATGTGGCCTTCTGCGATTGGCTTCTGGCAGTTAGCATCTTATTTTCAGGGTTCAGCCATCTTGGAGCAGGTGTCAATACTTCTTTCTTTTGTATTGCTTTTTGTGTCCAGTCTAGGGTCCTGAAGATTTGCACCTGTGTTTTCTTCTGAGCACTTGCAGTTACCTCTTAAATGTATCTGATGATCTTGATTTAGTATTTGCACATAGTGTGACATAGTGGACCAGCTTCATTCTTTTTATGCAGGGTCCAGTTGTCTCTACAGATATAATTTGACTTTTAGAACTGTGCTTTCCTGTATCTGGGAACATTTTCATTGGCCTCTGCCACATGCTTGGGGGCATCAGTTCTCCAGAATCGGCTGAATCTAACTTCAGGGTTTGAGATTTTCCAGTAACTTGAAGTCAGTCTGAAGTCTGTTCAAGGGCTAGTGTGTGTTTATGTTATTTCACTCTTAACTCCAAGGTGCATTCCGTTGGGGTCCCCGTCCTGTTCGTGTTTTGCCAGGGCCTCATCCTTGGCACACTCTGGTTCCAGCTTCGATCCCTACCCCCCCCCCCAGGGCAGTGGGGGTTACCACTACCCGGCCCTCAGCCACCGCCGCTGGGGTGACAAAGGCATTCCTGGCTGCCAGGCAGCATCTCTGGATTTCCTTCTTCTGGATCTTGGCCCGTAGTTCCTTACTGCCACAGTAGCTTCTTCATGCTTTTGGGATGCTGCTTTGTGTGTCTTATCTTGCTTTTCTAATTGTCTCCATCAGGAAGGTGCATCCCAACCAGTCATTGCTGGCCAGTACCTGTTGTGAAAATGGGGTCTGGAAGGGAATTGGAAAACTGGTGACACACTTTACAACAGCCGTTCTTATATCGTGCGGGAACCTGCTACAGCTGGAGTCTCATTTTTCTCTTATCCCCAGGAAAGCATACAGGTTGGACCCTATGATGACAACAGTGACAGCCATCGCCGTGTCTGTCAGCTGCTCAAGACACATTGATGTCGCCTTTGCTCATTTTGCTGGTAGCAGACGTGGTTTTCTTTGTGTCTGTATCATACAGGAAATTGCGAGCATTTTTCCCTCTGGATGAACCTCTGGGAAGTCCTATGATCAGGACTTTCCAACCTTCTTGACACAGGACTTAAATGTGTCACATACCCACCACACTGATACCAAGAACATGAGAACCCTTCAAGTTGACAGAGGACTTTCCCACTCTCATTATCTCTTAGTCCTCAAAAAAGGCACCTGAATTAGGTGTTATTATGAGCGGTTTCATCTGACAGTTGAGAGGCTGAGTCTCAGGTAGGGGACATGATACAATGACCAAAAGTGACCAGCTGGGAGTCCAGGTTTGCTTTTTCTGGCTTCTCACTTCATTCTCATTGTGTTAGGCCATCTGACAGCTTGCCGCCGTTTTTTCCCCCTTCATTCCTCACTCCTGTGATCACAGTGCCGTCCTTTCAGTAAGAGGGAATGACAATCATGAGATGGATGAGAGGATTTCTGTATCTGTGTTGTCTTCACCTGGCCCCATTCTTACCTGTGCTGGCCCTCCTGCATTACCTGCGCCTCTGGAGAACCAAGCAGGGCCACTCTGAAGCCTCAGCTTTCTCCTTTTTCCCTCTGTCATTACGGTTTGTTACATATTTCCTGCATACTCAAGAACTCCCTTCTTGCTGTTGCTGGTCTGTCATGGAGTCATCTGCAGTGCTGCTGGGAATGGTATGGAACTGTCAGTGCCACCGATGTCGTTAAAAAGAAAACTTTCTCAAGTTGTCAGATGCTGGCGGAGGGAAATAATCTTGTATCTTGTTTCAGCAGATGTGAGATACTTACAGATCAGAGGCACTTAGCTAATTATAGGATCATGACTCCATTTACAAATGGAAGTTAATTGCAGGAGGTTTTTTTTTAGCATTTGCTGATGTGACATTTCTTGAAAAGGAAGTAAATAGTACAGGGAAAATCATCTTTTTCTAGAGCTTAAATTGAATAATGACTCTAATGTCTGTGCTATTATTTCCATTACATATGACAGTACGAGAACTTAAGAAGTTGTGATTAGAAATGAGAGTCAGATGATAAAACTAGTTCCAATCAGTCAGTTTCAGAATTTTAATTATTTTAGACTAGCAAGAGACCTGAGATGGTCTAGTTTAGTTTCTTCTAGTACTGTCATGAGATCTGTTGCCTTGTCAGAATTGCCTGGAAACTTCAAAAACCATGTTCCCAGTGATTCAGATTCACTAGGGGCCTAAGAATCTGTGTTTTCCTTTTTAGTTTGTGTCTTTTATGTCTTTTTAAGGTCTAAAATACTACAGATAGACTTGAAACACCTTCACCTATTTAATTTATTTTCTCCTTTCGCCTCTGAATTTGGTCTTTATTATTTGGATATGCTTTCTAAAAAATACTTTAGCTTGTATATGTACATACACATGAGCGATAAATGATCATTGTTTTCACGTTTTACAATTTCCACATAAGTGGCTTCAAACTCCACTTATCATGCAGGCCTTTTTTCCACAAATAATTGTTTTACGCCCTCATACACCACAGCCAGCATTCCCGTGAGTGTTTTCACATGCACTCTGTGGCCTCACATGCCATGGCTTCTCAAGGATGGATGCCCTGCGGCTGGCACTAGGTTTTGCCAAATTGCTTTCCAGGCCTGTTTGCATAATGACCAGCCATGTGTGTATCATTCCGAATTCCTTAGCACACACCCCAGCATGTGGCAGGGCAGATTTCCTCCCTCCCAGCTCCCCAGAGAAGAGGTGCCACATTCTGGACCTTGTGGTTTGTTTTTTGGTTTGTTTTTTTTTTGAGTTGGAGTCTCACTCTGTCACCCAGACTGGAGTGCAATGGCCGCTCCCGGCCACCACAGCCTCGACCTGCTGGGCTCCGGCGATCCTTCCGCCTCAGCCTTCCGAGTAGCTGGAATTACAGGCATGCGCTACCACGCCCGGCTGATTTTTTGATTTATTGTAGAGATGAGGTCTCGCTGCCCAGGCGGGTCTCGAACCCACGGGCTCAGGCAATCCACTCACCTCATCCTCCCAAAGGCGCGGGATTACAGGCTGAGCCACCGAGCCCGGCTTTTGGTTTTTTTTTTTTACCTAAACAAAACGTCCTGGAGATTTTTTTGCAATTTAGAGAATAGAATGCGTACTCTTTCTTTTTTATGGTGTATTTTAATTGTATAAATAGACCACACTTCCAAAAGAAAACTCTCTTTCATTCATGGACACTTTTGTTTTCAGTCTTTTGGTCTGACAGACAGTGACCCTTCTGCCAGTCTGTAGGCTGAGTTCCCAGAAAGAGTAATTGCACACGTGAAGGTTATAGGCATTCTGACATGTAACCAAATCACTCTTCAGAGAGGATTTGCCAGTTTTACCTCCAACCAACAATATGTCAGAGTGCCCTTTCCTGCTGCAGTCTTGCCAAGGGTGTGTGCCAGCAAACTTGTGAATTTTGGCCAGTCTGATGGGGAAGATGATATCACAGTCCAGTTTTAATTTTCATTTCTTATTTTGATCGACAATGAGAATTTTTGTAGGACTTAAGCTACAGTTGTGTTTGTATTTCCACGAACCGTCTGTTAATGTCCTTTGCTGCTTTTGTCTTTATTCTTGGCTTAGAAATCTATTTTTAATGTGTTCTCAGATGGCTGAAGTCCAGGTAGGTCTGGTCATCACTGTGCTGTTCGGCCCCCTCATTTCCTCATAGGAGAATACCTTGCAGAAGAGGTGGCTGGAAGAGCAAAGGAGGGGATTTGTAGCCAGATAGGCAGTTAAGGGAAACGGCTCTCCAGACCCATTTTGAGTGAAGCTGTACTTGATTTTTATAATTGGTTCTTAAATTCAGTGTAATAAATATAAAAGAGCCAGGAACGGGGCTTGAGAGCCAGGCTGTGTTGAGGTTGTATCTGGAGTCCGACTCTGGATTGTGATCTGAGCCCCAGTACCTATTAGCTGTGTGTCTTGGACGAGTCACATAACTTTTTAGTGCCTCCGTTTTCTCATCTGCCAAATGCGGGGTGCAAATAGTACCTGAAATAATATTAAGATAGCACTTAGAACAGCAACTAGCATGTAGTGAGCACTTATAAGTCTAAGCTGCTGTTGCTGTTGTTGTCGTAACCCTACGACTCAATAAATGAGCATGCTCCTGTGAAAACAGGAAATCCAGATGACAGCCAGAACTGTGAGGCAGGCTGGAGACATAATCTTCCTATGTGCCCAGAAAAGAACTGTGTGCTGAATAATCTGTTACATCTCCTATTTCTAAATTAATAGACACCCTAAAGCAACTATCTTAATTTTATTTAGCATTTTTAAACTTTAACAATTTTTAAATTTTTAATTTTTCTTAGAGACAGGGTCTTGCTCTGTCACCCAGGCTGAAATGCAGTGGTGCAGTCACAGCTCACTGTAGCCTCGACCTCCTGGGCTCAAGAGATCCCCTCAGCCACTCGAGTAGCTGAGACTACAGGCGTGCACCACCACGCCTGACTAATTTTTTTAGAAAATATTTTGTAGAGATTGGGGTCTTGCCATGTTGTCCAGGTTGGTCTGGAACTCCTGACTTCAAGCAGTTCTCTTGCCTCAGCCTCCCAAAGTGCTGGGATTGCACTCACCCAACTATCTTAGTTTATATGAAATAGGATGTTTGAAGGAAAAAATTCCTTTCCAAACGAGGCTACACCAGTATCCTCGTGCTGGCATTGCTCACCATGTCCAGCCTGCTGGGGGATGCTGGAGTGACCGCATAGAGTTTTTCTAGCATTGGTGGCTTCAAGCAGCAGTAGGTAAACACAGCTGAAAAGAGCTTTCAGAGTAGCCTCGGCATGCTGTGAGAGTACTGTAGTGATTTTGCCCTAGTTCTCAAGGATGATCACATCCAAGTTTCCTTGCAAACCAGATCCCACATATGCACCTGTGTTGAGAGAGGTCCTCTGTACCCACCCAGGGCTTTCCTAACTCTTGGGGACTCTTCATTCTTTCCTCAAGAGTTTGCCTCCACCCTATTTCATTTCCTGAAAGAAAGTCCTTAAAAATTTCAAAAAGTCATTTCTTGCAAAGCAGATTTTCTGGAAATCAATTCTTTCAACTTTGGCTGCCTGGAAGTGGCTTTATTTCTCCCCCACTCCGATGGGACACTGCCTGTCGTTTGTGGCCACTGATCCTCTGAGTGTGAAGTGGCATTTATTGTCTTAGCTCCTGATAACGATTTTTTATCTGGTCAGCTACTGGCTCAGTGGGCCAGCAAGCCGAGCCCCAAAGAGTGTCAACTTTGCCTGGCTGGCAAGCCTCGCCCCGAGCAATGGCTCGCTGGGCTGGCAAGCCAAGCCCCTGCTGGTTCTGTGGGCAGGCAGGCCAGCCCCAGGGGTTTCTCAGCTCTGCTCCATAGTCTCGCTCACGGACAACCGGAAGATGAGAAAGTAGGATTTATTAAGAAGACAGAAAAGCTTCCATAGCAGTAGGGAACCTGAAAGAGGTTGCCAGTCTGGAGGGGGCTGTGAAAACAGGCCTTGATATAGCCCTAGGATCAAGCTGATTGGCTAGCATTCGCAGGGAGCTGATCGATTGGCACTAACTGTGCTGACTGGTCCGTACAAAGAGCCAATCAGCTGGAGGTAGGGGACTAATAGTGAGGGGATTGGTTAGCACTCAGCAGTGAGCTGATTGGTGCGTCTTTGAATTCCAGGAAGTGAGTGTCTGGCTCTAGTCTGAGGGCTTGCAGGGAGAGTGTTTAGCCAAGCGAGTGTTTGCGCTTCAGTCTGAGAGGCCTGCAGGAAGCTCGTGACTTTGTTACCGGACCCGCCCTGACTGCCTGCCTGTTTTCTGACGACCAACTCTTTCACTCCTTTTAAGATTTGCTTTCTATCTTTGGTCTTCAGCAGTTGACTGATGTTCTGGGTGTGGTGTTAACTGGTTTTTATCCCTCTTGGAGTTTGTTGAGCTTCTTGGTTCTGTGGTTGATGTCTTTTC